TGTAGGGAGACGTGGGGCTGGCGATGGGAAAGCTGTATGGCAACGACTTCAGCCAGACTACCATCTCACGATTTGAGGCCCTCAATCTGAGCTTCAAGAACATGTGTAAGCTCAAACCTCTACTGGAAAAGTGGCTGAGTGATGCAGGTAGGCCTCAAGGATATGAGAATGGATGGTGCCCTAGAGAATTCTGCAGGGAAGGGTCTAGTGACTTGTATGTGTTGGGGCTTTAGGCACTCAATACATAACACCCCTTTCTTCTTCTGAGTCTGGAATCAATTGAGAAATAAGACACATGATATTGGCAAGTGGAGAAGAAAATATCAGCTTTATTACTGATAAAGCCCTTTGGAGGGCATGGCTTTAGGTCTATGGCCATGAAGATTTGCACTCATGCCCCTCCCTAACCTAGGACAAAAATTGGGTCTGCAGAGCAGACACCCAGATTGATTTGTAGACTAGGTCTAGGTCAGGTGATAGGGAAGTGGGTTCTTTAGAGTCTTACTAGGAGAAAGAGGCAGTAGATGCAACAGAAGGTCTTTATCTGGCTAATTCTTAAGTAGGCTTTCAGAGGGCAGGGAGTTACTCTGAGCTAGACTTGTTAGGAAAGCCTTACAGCAGGAGTGGGGTTTGCAGGAGGATTCAGTCAGGTGTGGTGGCCAGGGAGGCATTCCAGTAGGTCAGGGTTTAAGCCAAGGGACAAATATTTGGAATAACGAATGGAAGAGTTTGCTGTCAAGGAATAGCAAAGGACAGAGTTTCTCAACTATCAATATCTTGGACCAGATAATTCTTTGTTGTGGGTGGTTGTCCTATGAATTGTAGTATATTTAGCAATATCTTTGGTCTCTACCTAATACATGCCAGTAGTACTCACGCCCAGTCGAAGGACCCCAAAATGTCTCCAGATATTGCCAAATGTCCTCTGGGGGAGTCAGGGTGGTGCAAAATCACCACTGATTGAGAACCACTGGTCTGGCTGAGAAGAAAGGAGCAGAGCCAGTGTCAGAGCTGGGCTCTATTCAATAGATATGTGTGGATTAGTGATTACTGTGGAAAGGGTGTAGTGGGCAGCCAGGGATATCACCCCCAGAAGTCCCTCCAGATGAAAACATGTGAAGAGGCAAGGAAGCGCCCTCCCACAGATGGTTTCTTCTACAGTTTTTATTGAAGCATTTAAGTGAGAGATATCATCAGAGGGTCTTAAGATTTTGGGGAAAGGACCTTTTAGATAATTTCTAGTGTAATCCTCAAATCCTTCCTAAGGGGTATCCCTGCCTATTGACCACACAGCCTTAGCTCCAACTCTTACACTGAAAAGGAAATGGCTTCGGCACCAACATTCTACTACCAAGTACCATTGCTTTTATCCCAAAGTGTCAGTTCACATTGTACTCCATGTTCATATCCAGGCACACTTGTAAAAGACAGACTCAGGAGTTACTTGTAGGAGCTCTGTCTGCACCCAGTCACACCCATACATGCTGATGATGTCTGGGTGTCCCTGAACCATGACTGCAAACACTGGACGCACTGCTGTGGGAGTCATAAAGAACCTTTGCCCAGAGCAATGAGGAAAAGTAGTGTGTTCTTGATCTGTTCTTGTTCCCCTGGTTGTGGGGGGAGAGCCTTACTCCTGAAAATGCCACTGTAGAACCCACCCAGAAAGGTTGCTGGACCTCAAAACCTTTAACACTGGACGAGTTGTGCATTTGCTTCTTTGAGCTTCCTCTGCTCTTTCACCTCCCGACAGAATCTTCTCCATCAGACCCCTCGGTGAGTACCCCCAGCTCTTACCCGACCCTCAGTGAAGTATTTGGTAGGAAGAGGAAGAAACGCACCAGCATTGAGACCAACATCCGCCTGACTCTGGAAAAGAGATTTCAAGATGTGAGTGGCTCCTCTGGGTGGGAGAGAGTGGGTTGACTTGTATAGATGGGCTAGCAGCACATTCAATTCCCCTGACACCAACCTCTTGGCACTGTACACCTGCCCTGGGAAGGCATTAGAAAGCAAAGACATACCCACTCTATAAACACCCAGGTGTTTGACTGAAAGTCTGCCCTTCATCTCGAGTTCCAGGAATTTCTTTCCCCATTGACCCTTGCTTTGACATCTATTTGGGGCCCATTGTCCCTCTCACTGGGACGTATAAAGAATGGAATATAGAGTCCCCGAAGAGGGTGTAGCTCTGTATCCAGTTGAAATAAAGGGAGAAAAGCCAGGGCATTGTGTATAAATTCTTTATTTTCTATGCATTGTTTTATATTTTTCAAATTATAAATGTAATAAATGCTTATTGTAAACAATTAGGAAAATACAGGGATATAGAAAAAATCCATCAGGAAATGCCATCTAAATGTATTTCCTTCTCTTTCTTTTTTCCATGCACATTTAATTGTATTTAATTAAATCACATTATATACATACTTAATTAATCATATTATATACATACTTTTAAAAAAAAACTTGTATGAAAGCATATCTTAAGCCAGTATGTAGAAGCTAATAATATCAAATGTGTGCCCTATGGGAGATGGGGGAGAAAAGATGGGAAAAAAGGTGGGGTCTAAACAGCTTTTAATTACAGTTCCTTAGGTACTAATATTCAGAGCCTGTGTCTGTACCACACAAGGCCATAAAGGACATGCCCATGGCCTAGTTCAACCTTGTGGGCCTCAGGCCTCCAGGACTGCTGCCCCTCCAGCAGATTCTTCAGTGTATCTGGCTCAAGGATCTGATGGCTGTATCCTGCTAGTGGGATGACAACAGCTGGCTTTTCCTTGTCATTAGGGTTCTCAGAGCAACAAGAATAAGGGAGCATGTAGGAGGGAGGAAAGGGAGCTTTGATAAAAAATTAGGTGGATGTGGGAGGGTGATATATATCTTGATGGATTCACATGTTTAACTTTATCATTTCTTATTTTGAGGTAGGACAGGAAACAGTGCCACTGGAGAAATATACCAGGTTATAAGGAAAGAACGCAGAGGAAAGCATGGGTTCTGAGGATTCTTCCTGCACCCATATAACTCACCAATGGACTCCTCTTTTCAGAACTTCTCCTAAAGGAAGGAGTAAGAGTAGAGAACCTGTGTCAGGCCCTGTGCTTGGCAGTTTATACATGTTTTCTCATTTAATTCTCACAATAATTATTTATGGTAGGCATTATTATTCTCATTCCATAGATGATAAGACTGAGGCTCAGAGAGGTTAAGAAAGTTTCCTAAGGACACACAGTAAGTGATAAAGCCAGTATTCCATTCTAGGTTTGATTCTGAAGCTTTTGATCCACCTGTTGTTCTATCTCATTTACTTGGAACATCTGTCCCCCAACCCCAATTCTCAATCCTATATGAACCACCCTCTACTCCTTCGGTCTCTGTAGAACCCCAAACCCAGCTCAGAGGAGATCTCCATGATTGCAGAGCAGTTGTCCATGGAGAAGGAGGTGGTGAGGGTCTGGTTCTGCAACCGCCGCCAAAAGGAGAAGCGAATCAACTGTCCTGTGGCCACGCCTATCAAATCACCCATCTACACTTCTCGTCTGGTGAGTGGCCGGGAAACAAGCTGCCAGTCAAGCACTGGGGAAGATGATGCCTGGAGGGCAAAAAGTCTTCTCCATTCTGGGGAAGGTGGGGGTTGGAGGTTGAGGGGGGCATGCAGTAAGTAAATCAGCAAACAGATGCTGTATATTAAATGTCTAATATGAAGAATAATAAAGGGTAAGGAGATGGAAAGCGATAGTGGGGAGTTGTTTTTTTTTTAATAGAGAGGTCAGAAGGGACTTCTCTGATAGTGACATTTGAGCAGAGATCTAAATGTTGAAAGGGAAATATCTGAGAAAAAGAGTGTTCCAGGCAGAGAGACCAGTAAGTGAGAATACCTTGCATGTTTGAGAAACAGCAAGAAAGCCAGTGTAGCTGGGGCAGAGCAAGGAAGAAGACTAGAAGTAGGAGATGAAAGGAAAGAAGTAATAGGGAACAGACCACCCAAGGTCATAGAGGCCATTGAAAGGACCTTAGCTTTTAGTTTGCATGAAATAAGCCACCGGAGAACTCTGAGCAGAGAAACTTGAGCTGGCTGACATGGGCTGCTGTGTAGAGAATAATCTGTGTGAAAGCAGGAGACAAGCTAGGAGAATTACAATAATCAGGCCGAGCGTGGTGGAGGCTTGGGCTAGGGTGGTAGCCATGGTAGTGAGAAGTGGTTAGTTTTTAAATATATTTTAACTGTAGAGCCATCAAGATGTGCTTATAGCTCAGATGTGGAGCATGAGAAATGAGGCAAAGATGACTTCAAGGGTTTTGGCCTGAGCAACTGGTTGGAAGATGCTACCATTTCCTGAGATGATGAAGACTACAGGAGGAATAGATTTGAAGGGAAGAAATAAGAATATAGATCTGGTTATATTAAGTTGTACATGACTCCTAGACATCCAAGAGGTGGTCAGAGAAGAAGTCAGGGCTGGGAATAGCTTGGAGTTCAAGCAGACCTGGACTAAAATTTAGACGGAAGAGAAATATCTTCTCTGTCCAGGGGAGAAATGGTGCCTGGAGGGTAGAGGTGGGAAAGTTCTTCTCTATCCTTGGGGACAGTTGTGTTTGAACGTTAAGGGAGTTGAGGATAACGGTGAGTCTTTCAGCACTCAAGGATGAACGAAATTCAGCGTTGGTGGGGTGAGACATAGCTGTTTCATAAAACTACACCATTGTTCATTCTTTCACCAAACATTTATGACTATCTTACTATACATATTGGTCTTTGTGCAGAGTGCTTGGGATACACAAATAAATAGTATCTCTCTTCTCTCCTGGAGCACCTCACTGCCTAGCAGAGGAGACAGACAAATAAACAAATGATAAACAACATGATAATTTCTCTAGGAAAACTTTGTAGTAGCAGCTAACAAAGCTTTGGGAGGTAGTGGTTAGAGAAGGCTTCCCCAAGGAGATAATTAATACCTGGGATGAGTCTAAAAGGCAAGAAGGAATGAAGAGTTTTCACAGGGGAAAGTGCGAGAACAGTGGCACAGACCAGGAAGAATATATTGCACTTCCACAGAACTGCAGCTGGTTCCATGTAGAGGAATGTTGACAGGTGAGGCTGGACATATCTGCAAAGGCCAGACTGAAGGGACTGTGTGCAATGCTAAGACACTAAAAGGTTTGGAAGAGTCATCGAATGATTTTTAAGCAGGGCATTGGCATGATCAGATTTGCTTTTTAGAATGAATACTCTGACTGCAGTGTAAAGGGTGGTTTGAGAGCTAGAGAGAACAGTTAAGATGTGAATGCAGTTATCCAGTAGAGAAGTAATGAGGGCTGAAGCAAACCTATGTGATAAGAATGAGGGAGGTGGGAGAGATTCAGGAGATAATTAGAAGGTAGAATCATAAGTTGTTGGTTAATAAACTGAAAATTGGTTGGGGGCACAGAGAATGATGAAGGAAAGAAAATACTCTGGGATGACTCTCAGCATTCAGACTGGGTTGACTGGGTAAATGGTAGTGCCATTGATAAAACAAGCAAATATAGAAGAGGAGATAGTTTGCGAATAGGAAAAAAGTGATGACTTTAATTATTTTCATTTTCATTATTATTATTATTATTATTATTATTACATTATTATTACAATGAGGCCTGTGGGACACCTAAGTGGCAATGTCCACAGGCACTTGGAATTATGGGTCTGGAGGTCAGCAGAGAAGGCTGGAATGAGGATATGGATCGGGAGATCATACACATACACATGGAATTTGAAATCTTGGGTGAAGAGGAGCTTACCTATAGAGTTTGTACATAGGAAGCAAAGAGGAAAGTCCAGGTCTCAGCTATGTGGAACACCAGCATTTGAGGGATGGGCAAAGGAAGAGGATCAAGGGAAGAAACTGAGAAGGATGAGCGGAAAGAGGCAAGAAACTGCAATGAAATAGATGTAAGGGGTAAAGCAGATGTGAGGAGTTCTGCTACAAGGACACAGATAAAAAAACACCCAAATGGGGTCTGAGAAGGCTGACTCTCTATTTTGTTTAAAGAACAGATTAGACATTAGCATGAAGACTAGCACAGCGAGCAGAAGGAATGGTCTGTGAGAAGGCATAGAATTCTAAAACAACATGATTCCTTTGGGGAATCACAAGCATTTCAGTCTGACTAAAGCCAAGGGTTTGAGAATAAGACAGAGGGATTGATGAGGTCCAGAAAATGATGGGCTCTGGACACTAAACTACCCTAAAAGCTATGAGGAACCATTGGAAATTTTAAGTTTGAGGAAATGTGATTTTCATTCATTATTCCTTTCTTAAATATTTCTTGAGCACCCACCATATGTTTTTCATTGGGATACAGTGGTATCAGGACACTTGTCATCCCGGCTTACAGTCCAGCAGATAAAACACATAAACAAATGCTATTTGTGCTGAAGGCTCCAGAGAAGATGTATGGATATTTGAGGGACCTAACCTAGTCCAGGGAGCCAGGGCTCCTCTGAGGAATGATGTCCAAACTGACAGCAGAAAAATGAGTGAACATTAATGGGGAGAAGGTCTAAATTGGGAGGACAGGAAGGAGAGAGTGTAAGGGAGAACATTTTAGGCAGAGGAAACAGTGCATACAAAGGCTGTGAAGCTGGGGTGTTAGGGAGAGGAACAATGGAAGGCTTGAATGGGCTGAAATCCAAGGAGTGAGAGAGAGTGTGAATGAGGGAGCTGGAGTGTAGGCCGGGGCTAGATTACATAGGGCATTGTAGACCATGTTACAGAAACTGGACCATGTTATAAGAACATCGGAATCTTTAAAGTCGGGGTTTTTTCAGAGCAGACGAGAGGTAGCTTCTTGCTGTGGTTCAATCCCAACCCAGGACACCAGCATGGAGAAAAGTGGTGAAGGCATAGAGGAGCTTTGACGGAGCCTGACTCATTCTCATCACTCATTCAACACATATTTGCTGAGCACCTGCAAAGTTCCAGGCACTATAGTAGACACTGGAGATGTAACAGTGAACTACACACGCAGCATCCAGCTCTCATGAAGTCTACAGCCTAGTGGCGGTGGGGAAGACATTAAACAAATAATTACATTAATACTTGTGGTATCCTGAAGGAAGCAGATAGAGAAAATGTTCTGACCCTATTTTTTCCTCAGGTCTCATTGACACAGTCTCTTTGGGATTAGGACATAATTTCTTCTGCTTCTAATATGAAATGATCTTCAAGATATACAGTTAAGCAACAAAACAAAACAAAAAACCAAAATGTTGCAGACCAGTGTGGGCAGACTGCTACCATTTATATAAAAAATTAAAAAAGGGCAACTATATATATGTCTGCTTACCTATGCATAACCTGTCTCTGAAAGGAAACTTCTTAGAAGCTGGTCGCAGTGAATAAATATATTATTTATTTTAAAACAGCAACAAATTTCTTGGGTGTGGCAGCAGAGGGAAAGGAAAAGAAGAGGGAGAGAGGTTATTGATAACATCTCTTACCATGCTGCCCCACACCTGTCTCCACCCTTTGTGGGCCCTTTGCCTACTGAGGAGGCTCATTGTAAAAGGGCAGGTAAATGAAAGCAGCAGAACCATAGATGATTAATTAGGGAGTGAGTACCTGCTGCATCCTGTTGGGATGAAATGTTCCAAACTGGGGAAGAGAAGAATATCAAATCACAGTTTCCTGAGCAGAACTTCCTTTCAAAGTCTTTTGAAAACATCATCAGAGCTTTCCCTGTCAGCCTATGAAGAATGCGGGGAGGGAAAGTATAAAGATTTAACTTAAAACTAAGAGGTGAGTAGCATCTAGAGACACCCAGCAGCTAACAGCTTCCTTCAGGAAGGAAGGGAACTAACATTTAACAAGTCCAGTACTCTCTGGCAGGTATTGTGTTGGAAGCTTTATGAACATTATCTCATTAAATCTTAATTAAAAGAAACTATGAGGGAAGTACTACTATTATTTTACAGGTGAGAAAACCAAATCTCAGTGGAGTTAGGTAACTTGCTCAAAGTCACACAGGTAATTTAGTGGTGAAGCCAGGTCTCACCCCTAGATCTGTTGGGCTCCAAAGTCCATTCTTCTATTTTATCTTGTTCTAGTTCTAGGACAGTAATACTGAGGTGGAGATTCCTGAACTGTGTGGGAGGTTAAACTATATTGTCTTAGGTCCCTTCCAAATCTGGGTTGATGATGCTATGAGGTCTCCAGAGCAAAATGAAAAGCTTCAGAGACCAAAGTTCAACTCCTCTGGTTATCTACAGAGAGTCAATGGTCCACTTATGCATCAGGCTGGGAAGCCTGACACAGGGTTGTTAGGGCTGGTGCTCTGCTTCCCTGAGCAAAAGCAGGAGTCTTTTAGGAAGGAAGAAGTAGGGACTGAAAAATAGAAAGCCTGCTAGCAGTGTTTGCCACAGCATTGTCCAAGAAGTATGCTCCTTTCATTGCCAGAGCACTCAAACACAGAAGCTTTGACCTGGCAATGCCAGAGAAACTTTGCCAGGCAACGCACAGCAGGGTGGGAAGAGCCTAGTGTTAGCAGCACGGAGCTATAGGAGGAGGGCAGAACTGGAGCTGGATGCTATTCGTGGTCCAGAAGCCCTCCTATGAAATGAAACAGAATGTAGGTTTAGAGTAGGAAATTATCAAGGAAGCTAAGCCCTAGTCTCTGCATAGTCTGGGACCCAGCATCCTGAGGAGAATATCTGAGGTTGGAGAAGGGAGTGGAAATAGACATTTACAAGCTGCTCTTGCCTTTCAGGTCTCTCCTTCTGGGTCTCTGGGCCCCCTCTCCATCCCTCCTGTCCATAGCACCATGCCTGGAACAGGTGAGCTTTAAAATGAAGTTTCTGAATAATACAAGAATTCCTTTAAATAGTGGGACATTAGAGCTGAAAGGGATCTACCTAAGTTAGCATTCCCTAAATGTACTTCAAAGGATATTAAAATCTGTGTTGGAGGAAAAAAGTTTTCATGATCCAGTAAGTTTGGGAAATGCTGAGTAAGCAAAGTTTAAACATGTTTATTTTTTGTTTCATTTTGATTACAATACTTCTCAGCACTTAAGTACATTATATGTTTCTAAAGTTGCTGTATAGAAGGCTAAAGGAAGACAGAGTTTTCCAAACCAATTTTGTATAGAACTCTACTTTTCAAAAAGTACCTATAGCATCTGAAAGAGCCAAATAAGATGTTCATATGTCTGGCTGTGCTCAGGACAGTCCTAGTGTCTGCCTTTTGTCCTGACATGACTATCAATAGTACTCTCTTCCACTCTTCAAAGTATTTTAGTTTGGATGGTAAAATAATGTGCTGCCTTATCCATAGAATGCTGTTTGGGAAACTCAAATACAAGAGTTCAGTTTAATCCAAATCTGCTATTTTACAGAGGACAAAAATGAGTTTCAGAGAAGTGAAATGAGTTGCCACAGGCCACAGAGCTGCTTAGCCCAGGACCTGGACTCGCATCTTCTAGACCGTGTACCTTTTGTTTGTTTCCAGATGGGAGCACTAGAGAGGCTAGCAATCTTTAATCGTGCTTTCAGGTTCTCTTTTCCCTCACTATGTACTTTACTTTCTTTCTTCTTCTCTTCCTTTCTGAGGTTTCTTGTTTTGTTTTGTTTTTTATTGTCCTGCCTCTGGATCTGGGGCTGTACAGGCCCAGCCCAGGGTGTGTACTGGAGTAGGATGATTCTGGCATCTGGCCTTGAGTTTAGCAAGTCTGAGACTTGCAGAACCAGCCATACAACTCTCTAGGGCCTGATTTGAGGAACCCATTCATGATGGGAGGCACTCCAGCCCAGGTGCTGATGCTAATATGGCAGAAAGTAGTCAAATGAAGTGGGGGCTAGGGAGAGGGTGATATCCCTTTGTGGATACATGTCTGAAGGGCTATGTCACAAGGTCCCAGGACCCAGCTGCATTATTTTCCTCTTGTTTTTGCTTCTCCTCATCCTCAGTAACATCATCCTGTTCCCCTGGGAATAACAGCAAGCCTTCATCTCCTAGCTCAGGACTCCACACCAGCAGCCCAACCACATCTCAAAATAACTCCAAAGCAGCAGTGAACTCCTCCTCCAGTTTTAACTCTTCAGGGTAAGATGGAAGGGAAGGGTATAGTGACATCCCAGCAGAGCTAAGGGACATGTGAGACACTGGGTGAAAACCTTGGGAATGAAAGCTGTCATGGGGTTGGAAAAAGGGAATGGAATGGCAGAGAGGGGACAAAGTGGAGAGCCAGACTGGACTTTATCCTTAGGGAGTGGGATTTAAAAGAGAAGCTTCAGCCAGTGAGCAGTCCTGGCAAGGAGCTCATGTCAACAAACCCAAAATTTACATCCTCAGTGGGAAGGTGGAAATTTCCAAACACTCCTATCATACCAGGCCTTTCACTGGGCTTAGGAGTTCTCCACTTCATGCCAATAACCCTGTCCTGGGGTGTTCTGATGTGAGCTTGAGCTTCAAGTGTGGCTGACACAGTGAGAGAGGAAAGTGATACTGTTCCCTATATCATGTTCCCACCTGGGATACAGTGGGGGAAATTAGCCTCTTGGACCAAAGAATCCACTCTAAAAAGTATTTTAAGAGTTGATGCCTTGAGAGATTCTTCTCCGATTCAGAATAAAAGAGATATTTGAAAGTTAGGTGGTAGGCTAAAGACCTAGCTTGTTGGAAGAGATGAATCCACATGTCCAAACCCAAGTAGTTCAGCAAGGCAGCCAGCTCTCATTGGCCAGTTTTTGCAAAAGTTGGAGCTCCTCAACAACCCCCACCAAAAAAAAAAAAGAAAAAAAACCATATAATATACATTAAAAAATTGTTTTGAGATATAATACACCATAAAATTTCTCATTTTAAATATACAATTCAGTACTTTATAGTATATTCACAAGGTTATACAACTATCATCATTATCTAATTCCAGAACATTTTTGTCATCCCAGAAAGAAACCCTATACTTATTAGCTTATCACTGCCCATTCTCATATTTCCTCATCAAATTAGCAGCTTTATAATTGACTTGTTTCTTTCTCCTTTCCAGGTCTTGGTACCGATGGAATCATCCCACCTACCTCCACTAAGACTAAAAAGTTTCTCCTATTCCACCTGGCCCTGTATTTACCACTGGAAGGAAGGGAGTCACTCCTTCTCTGTATGGACAGATGACTTTCAGAAGAGTAGAAGACAATCCCCACTATCCATGAAACTAAACTCTTGCCTTCTTCATGAGCAAGAGCCTCCAGAGATCCAAACTGTGATTGAACCATGTGTTGACTCCTAGTGTTCTTGAAATATATATCAATCCTAGGGGTTGACCATTTTCACCTTCCTTGCCTGTGCCTTTATCCTCTAGTTCTAAATATTTCAGATGGCATCACTGTGGCAGTGGTGTTTCAGAGAAAAGACTTCTTGTCGTTATTCTTTAACTCATTCTGGGGACAGCCATTTGCCTGGTGTCCCAAACCACCAGAGAGCTAATGGTTTTGACTCTGAACCTAGCCATAATCTCCAAACTGATTCTAAAATCTATGAAAAGATTTAATCCGATTTCTGCACCAAAGCCTTGATGTTTTCTTTATTCAACCAAGTTGTCTGACTGACTCTTCTTTCACCCCATTTTCTCTTTAGTCCTGCCCCCTTGTCTAAAACCAGATCTATACATGATTTTGTTCTCCAAGTTCCCTCCTCTTTACAGAAGGCTAATTTCTTCAGTCCTGGGGACACATTTCTCTGCTCACAGGTGCTTTTCTGCCTGTTAAATCTGTCCCAGAGTTCGGGAGCACTTGTTCCTTCTCTCCTTCCCTATGTTTCTCCTTCTCATTCTCTCTTCTTTCTCCTGGCTGCAGAAGAAAGAACACAAAGGCAAACAACACACAGTTATGCTAGCAAAACACCTATATATAGCCCTTTCTTGTTTTTGCATTATGTTCTTCTTTTCTTAATATGGAATTTTCCAGCAAAATGTTTAACTCAGGTGTGAATTTTGAAGATGTCTCTAATATTTTCTCTTCCTTAAAAAAAAGAAAAAGAAAAAGAAAGGAAAAAATACCAAAGTGTAAAATACTGTGCTAGCTCTATAAGGGTTCCCATATAGGCTGGGAATCCTTCTTAAGTTCCCAGGAACATTATCTCTAGTCTCCTTCCTTGTGGGCCAGTGTGTAGAGATGTAACATGAAGCCATTGTAGAAATGGTAACTTTTTAAAGACTGCATATCCAAGGAAATGTTGAGATTCAAAGGAACTGTTCCTAAATACATTTGTATAGTGATGTTATAAACTATTCCACTATTGATAAGAAGAAGTTCAGATTATTATCCTGTGTCTTTTGTTATGGGGGAATGTGAGTGCATATGATGAAATGTGTTGAAATGGGATGAGGAGAATGTTTCAAATTGATGCATTAAGTCTATTACTCCCCAAACTGATGCTAAAGATAACATACATTAATACAGGGCTCTGAAGAGTTCACAGTTCTTATTCTTTTTGACAGAACTTCCTTGAAGGCAGAGGAGGCAAGAGATTAGTTCCTCTTTTTGCAAGTGGGAGAATGGTGAATAGTTAAGGTCAAGTCATTCAGAAACTTAAGAGGTAAAGCCTGAGGCTAATAGCTCATATCTCAGATATCCTGAAGATTAATTATTCATAATTCACAATGGAAAGCAATAGATATTTAAGGCAAAAAATGATTTAATAATCATATTTATTTGGCTTTGCAATGCACTGTGAGTCTTGGTGAGTGGCTTGAGGGGAAGGAAAGCTATCCTTGTGGTTTTTCTTAGTTTAAAATAGTTACCATTCTTGAGGTAAACATTGACCTGTAGGAAATGGAGGCCCTTCAAAAAATGTAATGGCTGAAGAGGAAAAACTAAGGATTAGATATTTGTTGCAAATAATTATATCCAAGTGGAAAATCTACACATAAGTGATCAAGAGTTAACGTTTCTTAATGTTTGAATGGGGCTTATATTAAGACTAATATTTCATGTCATGAAGTAGTAGAATGCCTATTGGTAGTAGTTTCTTAAGAAAAGAGCTAATTGAAAAGGGCACAGTATGTAGCAAAGAGACAGCAAGAGGAGCCTTCAGCAGTACTTTAAGTACATAAAGAGACTACTCCACCACCCATGAGCCTTTCTGTGTGTGTGTATGTGTGTGTACACACTCTTCTTTGCATACTCATGGGTGTCAGAGCTGACCCTTTCCTACAGCAATCCTGGCTACCTTGACATCTTTTCTCAGGTGAGTGCTAAAAGTTGATCTACACTAAGACTCTGGTTTTAACCCATTTGAACTTAAAAAAAAAAAAACAACTTATTTTTTAGAGCAGTTTTAGGTTTACAACAAAGTTGAGAAGAAGGTACAGAGATTTTTCATATACTACCTGTCCCCACATTTGCATATCCTCACCCCATTATTGACATCCATCATCAGAAAAGATATTTTCTTTTACCAAGGATGAACCTACATTAACACATCATAATCACCCAAAGTCCACAGTTTACCTTAGAGTTCACTCTTGGTGTTGCATATTCTACAAGTTCGGACAAAAGTATAATAATATATATTCATCATCATAATATACCGGGGATTTTCACTTCCCTAAAAATCCTCTGTGCTCTGCCTATTCATCTCTCTGCCCGCTATACCTTTGGCAACCACTGATCTTTTTACTGTCTCCATGGTTTTGCCTTTTCTAGAATGTCATATAATTAGAATCATATAGTATAGAGCCTTTCCAGAGTGACTTCTTTCACTTAGTAATATACATTTAAGGTTTCTCCATGTCTTTCCATGGCTTGATAGCTTATTTCTTTTTAGTTCTGAGTAATATTCTGTTATCTCGATGTACTACAGTTTATTTATCCATTTATCCACCTACTGAAGGACATCTTGGTTGTTTCCAAGTTTTGGCAATTTTGAATAAAGCTGCTATAAACATCTGTGTGCAGGTTTTTATGTGAATATAAAATTTCAATTCCTTTGGGTGAATACCAAAGAGTATAATTGTTGGATTGTATGGTAAGAGTATATTTAGTTTTAGAAGAAAATGCCAAACTGTCTTTCAAAGCAGCTGTACCATTTTGCATTCCCACCAGCAAGAGTTCCTGTTGTTCCACATCCTCACCTGCATTTGTTGTCCATGATCCAGATTTTGGCTGTTTAATAGATGTGTAGTGGTATCTCATCGTTGTTTTAATTTGCATTTCCCTGATGACTTATAATGTGGAACATCTTTTCATAGGCTCATTTCTCATATGTATATCTTTGGTGAGATGTCTATAAGGTCCTTAGCCCATTTTTCGATCTAGTTGTTTTCTTACTGATGAGTTTTAAGAGTTCTTTGTATATTCTAGATAATGGACCCTTACCAGATGTGTGTTTTGCAAATATGTTTTCCCAATCTGTGGCTTATTATCTTCTTATTCTCTTGATATTGTCTTTTGCAGAGCAGAAGTTCTTAATTTTAATGAAGTCCAGCTTATCAAGTATTTTGTGGAACATGTCTTTGGTGTTGTGTATGAAAAATCATCATCATATCTAGGGTTATCTAGGTTTTCTCCTATGTTATCCTCTAGGAGATTTATAGTTTTGTGTTTTACATTTAGGTCTATTATCCATTTGAGTTCATTTTTATGAAAGGTGTAAGATCTGTGTCTAAATTAATTAACTAATTAGTTTATTTATTTTGCAGGTGGATGTCCAGTTGTTCCAGCGCCATTTGTTGAAGAGACTATCTTTTCTCCATTGTATTGCCTTAGCTCCTTGGCAAAGATCAGTTGCCTATATTTGTGGGGGTATATTTCTGGGTTCTCTATTTGGCCATGGTTTTTAATGAAAGAAATAAACAGAATTATAGCCTAACTGCTCAGCCATCAGTAGTTTTCATTGTCCATTGACTTGGACAGTTACTAAATAGATTCAAATCTGGAAGTGAGCATCTAATTACCTTTCATGTCTGCATGATTCCATAAAACTCATAATTCCAGTGAAGTTTAACCTAAAAAGCTTGGTTAGCTTTTTCAACATCCAATCAGACAGAAAATTGAAGGGCAACAACCAGTCATTGTCTAGGGAGAAAGGAAGAGAAAAAATTTGTTGCTGCTGCTTTTCCAATTTCATACTTAGCTCTTTAGTTGACTCAAGATCAGTGGGCCCAGCTGTGGGCTCCTAAGACTAAGGACTTCTATCTGGACTACCCAGAGAATACATGTAATCACAGTTCTCAAATTAAGAATCTTGTCCTGAGCACCCAGTTTCAGTGCCTCTGCTTCCAATACACTCTGAAAGCTCCTGTTATGTCTCACGTAGCACATTTGCTGACCCCACTGCTCAGCTTCTCCTGATAGACTGTGGGGTGCTCCTTGTAGTTGAGGCTGTCTTTTTTTCTTTGTATCCCCATTACTAGCATTGTGACTAGCATATAATATGCAATTAAGATTTTAAAAAATTGAGTTTATTTTTTTCCCTCTAAAGAACTTCTAACACCCTTCACTGATGTAAAGAGCTGTGAATACAGAAAAATACAGTGTGCATCTGGAGGAGATTCTAGTTGAATGGAGGCAATATATTTTGGTGACTAAGATCATGACCTCCAGAGCAGCGGTCCTCAACCTTTTTGGCACCAAGGACTGATGCTCCTATGAGAATCTAATGCCTGATGATCTGAGCTGGAGCTGAGGTGGTAAATGCTAACGCTGGGGAGCAGCTGCAAATACAGATGAAGTTTCACTTGCTGGCCCACTGCTCACCTCCTGCTGTGTGGCCCAGTTCCTAACAGGGCAAGGATTGGTACCAGTCTGCAGCTCGGGGGTTGGGGACCACTGCTCAAGATCCATATTGCCTGGGTTCCTACCAAAATCTGCCTCCTATTAATTATGTCATCTTGGGCAAGCTCCATGACTGCTCCGTGCCTCAGTTTATTACCTGTAAAATGGGAGTAACAATAGAGTTACTCATAGATTTGTGAGAATTAAAAGAATCACTATATGTAAAGTGCTTGAAACAGTGCCTGGTACATTAATATTACCTATTATTGCAATGCTTATTATTGTCATTGTTATTCAAGTAAATTGGTGAAGAGCCTCTTGTCACCTGCTCTCCCTAACAGCCCAGAAATTTTCTGGGGGATGCTGCTATTGATTAGGATCTGCTTTGATGGAACAAGAATTGTGCCCAAAGATATATAAATTAATAAAATTTAATTTATATGAAGCTTAACCCTGGAATCCCAATCACCCTAGGATAAAGGCCTAATAGAGTCTGGAAGTGGCACCTTCCCTTATCCCCTCAGCCTTTAGACTCTTGAAGCCTTTAATATGCTGTTCTTTCCCGGGAAATGGTGGCGGCAAGAAGAAAGTTCCAGATTCAGATACTAGAAGAAAAAAAATGCTGCGACAATAACAACTGAGAAAAAGGTTGAGATTTGCATACTGTCCACTTAGTGAAATGGATATTCTCATGTTTTCTTCAGGCTATCATTACCTCTTATCTCGTCTATTCCAACCCACTTGTAACGGGTTGTCTTCTCTGATTCATCTTATACTGATTTTGTTGAGTGTCTATATAGCAGGGATTCTCAACTTTGGAGAGTTGAGAATCACCTTGGAGAGCTTTAAAAAGATAGCTACACACAAATTCTGATTTATTTTGCCTGGGGTGTGGCCTGGGCATTGGGATTTTTTTAAAGGTCCTTTTAAAGTGATTTCATTGTGCTATCAAGGTTGAAAAATACTGCCCAGATATGCATATATATCACTGGGGACCTTATCAAAATGCAGATTCTGATTCAGTAGGTCTGGGTTTAGGGTCTGAGATTCTGTGCTTCTAACAAATTCTTAGGTGATGCAGATTTTGCTGGCCCATGGATCACACTTTCAGTGCCAAGGGCTTGGAGAACGTGATAAAATTATTCCCTGGCCCAATAGCATCACAGGTTTTCTATTATCTGCATACTAAGATGCCTCAGACTGGCATCAGCTATTTTAGATGATCTAACAGCAGTGGTTCTCAAACGTCACTAATTATCTAAATGACTTCTGGCAGGTTTTAAAAGATACAAATTCCTGGGCCCCACACCAGGCCTGTTAAATCATTTTTAAGGTGCAGCCTGCACAAAGGATATTTTTAAAACACTTCCCAAGTGGTATACATAATAAGATTTATGAGCTACAATATATTTCCAATATACTCTTCTAGGTTCATTTCCCATTCATTCAACCAGCAAACATTTATTGTACCTGCTTCATACCAGGTATAGGGAAACAAAGATGAAAACAAGGTACTCCTTACTCTTAAAGGATTGGCAAGACAAATGACCAAAATTAGACTTGCTATTCCTCAGACCTAGCCTAAGCTCATTCCTCTGCTTTTATGAGTGTCTGGGCCTGTCAGCACCTCATTGTCACCTGTGCTGATCAAGCCAAATGCCCCCTTTACTGCATTTGAGTATACTTACATTTGGTCCTCACTTCAAATTTGCTGTTAAATAGATCCAGAGAGGAGAAAGAATTTACCGAAAGTGACAACAATAATTAACATTTACGTAGTGACTTCCATATGCCAGACATTGTTTATAAGCACTTTACACATGTTAAGTGTGTAAAATTTCTCACAATAACATTATAACTATTATTACTATCCCTGTTCTGTAGATGAGAACATGAGGCACAGAAAAGTTAGGTAACTTGACCAAAGACATACATTCAGTAATCAAGCCAGGTTTACTCTTAAGTCTTATGCTCTACTGCCAAGTTGGTGACAGGGCTAAAACAAGAAGGAATAACTTCTAATTTCCAGGCCTGGGCACTTTTCTGGAAATTAGTTTTATGTGTACTTGTTTCACAATCACAACTTAGACTCAAGCATGAGGGCGCCTGGCCGGCTGGTGGGGAAAGAGGCAGGGACTACATCTTGCATATCCGAAGTGCCTTGTAGAGAGGCAAGCACTTAGTAGGTGCTAAGGTGTTTATTGGATGGGCTGTCTAATTGTGGGAGAGATGAGGGAAATGGATAATTATTCAAACAGACAACAAACAAGCAAGAGCAACCTTGCAGGTC